TGTTCTAATTAAAAACTTCCGAACGCTTTTTCCATGTGTATCCCTGGAGAACTGGCATCGCGTATCGTATAAATTCAAATAACAATATCAAATTAAACGATGCATATCGTAAATAAATGTAATAAGCTATATATGTAAAAAGAGTCACGCACTGATCCAATAAAAATTCATCAAATTTTCTTGTTCTATAAAAACAAGTCTTTTTTTTTTTTGCCATTCACGCAACTCGCCTTTCACAATTACTCTCTTCTCTCTTCTACTTATAAATAGAATATATACATATAACACGGATATACGGTAGCCGTATCAACATATATTTGTGCACGTGTCCAAATTAAATTCTGTAGGTATCCCGAGCACAAAAGCGAAATCATTTGAACGAGAACGGTAATGAAAACCATGTGAAAGCGGAAATATCACAGTCGGAAATGTCTAAATTAATCCAAATTAACCAAATAAGGAAGAACCGCGGAGAAGGAGAGGATGACAGCGGGAAACCACGTAAAAATATCTTTTAATTCCGAGCACGGGTTTCCGGATTGCGGCAGAAAACTCTTCGCGAACTCGAGGAAAGTGCATTCTGCGAGAAAGAAAGTTAAAAGGGACGAAACCAATGATATGCTATTAAAAAATTTTGCGATTGCGTCACGAACTCAGATCGATTTGGATATATACACAAGTATAAAATAAATTATATATCCGAATAAAACTTGCAACGTTTATGTACACAGCTCGCATTGAGAGCTGCCGTTTTATGTTTGAAAAATTATATAAACTCTGTTGTGTGTGTGCAAACATATCGAGCGATGTAATATAAAATTTACGTATATATTTTATTATTAAAACGTATTTTCAATTTTGTCGTAACTTCGATATCCGTTATTAAAATGTATATCAATATTATTTTAATCAGGATATTATAATGCATATATTATAATTATAATATATATATATAATACATATCCGCGTAATTAAAAGCGTCTACTTGGCGGGATTTTACCTCTACGAGATTTAGTCTGACTTTTAATTAGATCCGCCTTGATAATAATCCATTTTTGGGCCGCTATATACATTGCGCATCTCTTCCCTCGTTTATCACTCATTATCCGAAAAATATCTATCTTTATCTCGCCCATTCTCCTGGTTATAAAGACCGCGGCTACGCGTTCCGAGGTCGGTTAAGCCGGGCTCTAAATTAATTACTAAACAATGCCGGGGTGCCGCGGCGCGCGCGGTTTCTTTATTAAATGAGTTCGCTGGTCGGGCGTTTGCTTAACCGACACATTACTCCCAGAGGAAAGCGAGGAGGGGACGGTTGCATTAACTGCGTGCCATAAATATATTCCCTTTTTTGGTCTCCTTCGCTAAGAATTCGAGCCCTCCTCTAACCGTTTCGCGCTTTCGCCGACCTATTTTGTGCTCCATCCACATATTCTATTATTATATTTCGAGCAATCGATATATCGCGCGAGAGAACTTTCAACACGTTCGTCGCATTATTTATGAAATCAACTTTTTATATGTAAGTATATAAAAAAAAAAAAAGTCAAAATTAAAAATAGACTACTCGAGAGTTTGTGTTCAGATTGAAACCGCATAAATCTCCTTTATATAGATTACTCGAAGAGCTCCAACGTGACTCACATAAATCAGTCATCCTTCGGGGATATTTTAATCGCGACTAAAAGGCACGGGGTTGACATTTTCGCGGATTTGTGTACGTTTCCTCTCGTTCGCGTAAAATTGATTTCCTTTCTCCGAGGAGCTCGCTCCCAGGCAGGAAAGGTACATCGCTTAGGTGCCGGAGCGACATTCGTCTTGCGTTCGTTCGAGCCCGCAAAAATTTCCGGCATCATCGTCGCCCACGTAGAGCCGCGTGTAGAATCGCACGGTGCATCGCCGAAGCTTTCACGGCGATTGCTTTTTCGGCGTCGTTTGTCAGCCCGGACGCACGGTGAGAAATCATTCGGCCGTGTAGAGGGAACGAACTCTCGCCGAGAAACCGAAATCCTCCGGCAGGCCATCTTTAAGAGTCCTCGCGTTCGCCGAGAAAAATGCGGAGGATCATTTTTAAGTTTTCGTACTAATGTGATGGTAGAATTTAACTAATTGACAATTATTGAGCAAATAAGATGTAAAAAGTTAAAGGTTATATAATATTAAAAATAGACTGTCGATGAAACTTGATAAAATTTCTCAAAGTAATGTATTTTTTGTGAACTCTATTTTAAGCTTTTGATTTGGCCGAGAAAATGGTAAACGGAAATTGAATTGAAAACTGCAGGGCTTGAGAACTTCTATTCTTGAGTGAATCTAATACAGAAATAATCCTCGCGCCGATTCTGTCTCGAAAAAAAATTACTATCATAATCGAAGATTTTTACGATTATTCCTTATCTTTTAATATTGCATTAACTATTGAAAGAATATATATAATTTCAAATGTAAGAATATCTGCAAGTTGTAGAGAGATTCATTTCCAATGTAACTCGTCCAATTGATTTTCTTTTATTTAAAGATTCAACTTGAAGCTAAATCGGCGAATCATTTAATATTGAGAGAATGAACAAGCAACAGCAAATTAAATTTAGCAAACATACTTAAATACTTCTACGCGCTTCAAGTGAATATTATCTCGAGTAAAATTTACTTTTAGACATATTTAATGCGTCTCGCAGAGAGAGAGAGAGATCTTAAAAATAAACGATAGAAATTAAATTTCTTTCAGGAAAGAAAGTTGAAAGAAACGACTTGGACTCTTTCCTGGGAAATAAAATCTTGTCCGGCGTATGAAGAAAGTATATGTATAAAAAAAAAAAAAAAAAAAACTACACACATGAAAAAAAGTGCTTTAAATTCTTTCTTTTTCCGCTTATTTTACGGAGATCGCATCTCCGCTCTTAACGAAACGACGTTGCGACACGCATGTATATAGCTAGAGAGGGATAACGTGAGACTCGCGTGAAGGAATTTTCTGCGGGAGTTACGAATTTCCCTCGGCGAGCGAAACCTCGCGGCGCGTCGTTCTATAAACCCCGTGGATTGTAAAGTTTCCACGGTCACGTGTGCGAAAACTTTCCGCGTGTCAAGAAAGAACATCGACGTCGACGACGACGCGCGTCGCCGTGTGCCATTTACTCCCTTATTTATTATTTTTCGTGCAGACCCCGGATACACACACGCGAAACTTTCCCGGAGGATTCCCCGTGGGATCGGTGTCCGTTTCCACTGCGAAGTTGCGCCTCCCGTTCCCCAAGAGAAAACGGGGAGACGGCAGTTTAGTAAGAGACGAGGGTGGAGGGTGAGAATCGACACGCGAGTTGGCGATTGGGATGACGATTTAACGATAAATATATATCGGAAGAATTAATCAATTAATTAATTAATTCTCTTTCATCGAGGTCCGCGTCGTTCAGATATTATCTATCTGAAACGTTTCGGGGGTGAAGATGAACGAAATGACTTGGATGCAAAACTTCTTTAGGAGAAAGAAAAAATATCGCGAGTACTTTTTCAGTTAATGCGCGCGAGGCTCCGCGATCGAATTCCGTTAATTGATTCGCCGGCGAATTAGCATGCTAATTAATTCGCCGACAAATTTCATTGAAAACGACCGCGCGGCTACGAATTGCACAGCGAGTTAACTAATTCCAATGATGACCGGCGGCGCACGATGACACGCGCAAGTTTCAAGTAGTATGCGTGACAGACAGTGCACGTCACGTGGGGCGGAGATGGGGTGGAGTGCATATGCAGTCAGGATGCACTGCCGCCGCTCGCGCCCGGAGGGATCGTTCATAAATTATGGACGCATTAATTATAACGGAGTTTGCGGACGCGCGTGTGTGTTTAGATTGACTTGACGGCGAAATGGCCGTCGCGTCTGCTCCCTTCCCCTTTCCTTCGAATGCTACCTCGATACTTGGGCAAGGATGTGTGTTAGGGACCTGTGGATTAATTAACCAGCCTGCATAAATAACGCCGATGCCAAAGCGCGGTTAGCGTCGCCGAACTCGCTCGACGGGTGTAGTTAACATCCATTGTACCAACGTAAATCCCATCTCTGTCTCGCGCTTGCCACTTTCGGTCAACGCCTCGAGGCATCGAAGTCACTGCGTCATTGACGTTACGCACGTGGCGACGTAGCAGACTCCTGCGTCTCTTCTTTGGAAAACGAACGTAAAGAATCGCCGAAACGTTAAACGTTACGCGGATAAATTTATTAATTCTAATTAAATTCTCCTTTGCACGAATTTTTTTCTCGCGACATCAAATGTCTGACCATAATCATACTCTTACTACTTGAGACACGTTTTAATTGAGCCTACAATCAAATGTCTGACCATAATCATACTCTTACTACTTGAGACACGTTTTAATTGAGCCTACAATTCAAATATCATGTAAGTCATGTTATACATATTTTACAACAAATTATATCGTATAATTGAGATAGTCATACTTTTTTTAATGTATAGCTTGTAATAAACTTATTAATTCTAATTAAATTCTCTTGCTCTAATTTTCTTTTTTCATGGTAATCGTGGGACAATTGGCAGAATTTTATAAGAGTTTCTTTGGTTTAATATTTACCACAATAAAAAAATATTATATCTTATTATGGTAGATGTTAATATTTTTATTCTCACGAATATCGTGATTTTCAGGATAAATTCCAAGAGAATTCTCCGTGTATACTTAGTGCACGAAAGTGTATCGCACTAAGAGAGTACGCTATTTCGACGATAACCGCTTGATAATTTTTCAGATTACTTCAAGCTCTTGTGTACACGAGAGAAAAAGAGAAAGAAAGCGAGCGTGCGTTAGGGAAAGGTTGAAAGTTAATCTGGCGAGCATAGTGATTTTCATGCAGCGTACCCAAATCCCTCCCCGGCCCCCATCCCCCCCCACGAGGTTAGTGAAGCAAGAGAAAGAAGTGAAGCAAGAAGTATGACACAGACCTCAGAAGTGTTGGCGACATCATTTGTTGGGCTACTGACCGCGTTGTTAGAGTGCGTTTGATCCGTCTTGAGTTCACGATGATTGCTGAACTGCACGTAGACCGCTCTGCCTCTGAGCTGGGCTATACCGGAAGCGTAGTAGGTCACCATGGTCGCTGCAGCATTCTCGTCCGCCATTTCCAGAAATGCCTGCAACAAAAAAAAAATTTCTTGTCAGTCACGATATATTTATAATAAATTATATCGTATAATTGAGATAGATATATTGCTTTTTCAATGTATACTTTGTAATAAATTTATTAATTCTAATTAAATTCTCCTTTGCACCAATTTTTTTCTCGCGACATCAAATGTCTGACTATAATCATACTCTTACTACTTGAGACACGTTTTAATTGAGCCTATAATGAAATGTCTGACCATAATCATACTCTTACTACTTGAGACACGTTTTAATTGAGCCTACAATTCAAAAATCATGTGTCATGTTATAAATATTTTACAACAAATTATATCGTATAATTGAGATAGTCATACTTTTTTTTAATGTAGAGCTTGTAATAAACTTATTAATTCTAATTAAATTCTCTTGCTCTAATTTTTTCTCGCAACATTAAATGTCTGACCATAATCATACTCTTACTACTTGAGACATGTTTTAATTCAGCCTATAATTCAAATATCATGAAAATCATGTTATACATATTTTACAACAAATTATATCGTATAATTGAGATAGTCATACTTTTTTTAATGTATAGCTTGTAATAAACTTATTAATTCTAATTAAATTCTCCCTTGCTCTAATTTTTTCCCGTGACATCAAATGTCTGACCATAATCATACTCTTACTACTTGAGACACGTTTTAATTCAGCCTATAATTCAAATATCATCAAAATCATGTTATACATATTTTACAACAAATTATATCATGTAATTGAGATAGTCATATTTTTTTTTAATGTATAGCTTGTAATAAATTTATTAATTCTAATTAAATTCTCCCTTGCTCTAATTTTTTCCCGCGACATTAAATGTCTGACCATAATCATACTCTTACTACTTGAGACATGTTTTAATTCAGCCTATAATTCAAATATCATGTAAGTCATGTTATACATATTTTACAACAAATTATATCGTATAATTAAGATAGTCATAGTTCTTTTTGAATGTACATTTTGTAATAAATTTATTAATTCTAATTAAATTCTCCCTTGCTCTAATTTTTTCTCGCGACATCAAATGTCTGATCATAATCATACTCTTACTACTTGAGACACGTTTTAATTCAGCCTATAATTCAAATATCATCAAAATCATGTTATACATATTTTACAACAAATTATATCATGTAATTGAGATAGTCATATTTTTTTTTTAATGTATAGCTTGTAATAAATTTATTAATTCTAATTAAATTCTCCCTTGCTCTAATTTTTTCCGGCGACATTAAATGTCTGACCATAATCATACTCTTACTACTTGAGACATGTTTTAATTCAGCCTCTACCATAATTCAAATATCATGTAAGTCATGTTATACATATTTTACAACAAATTATATCGTATAATTAAGATAGTCATAGTTCTTTTTGAATGTATATTTTGTAATAAATTTATTAATTCTAATTAAATTCTCCCTTGCTCTAATTTTTTCCCGCGACATCAAATGTCTGACCATAATCATACTCTTACTACTTGAGACACGTTTTAATTCAGCCTGTGACTCAAATATCATATAAGTCACGATATATTTTACAACAATTGTATAATTGAGATAGACGTACTTTTTTCAATGTATATTTTGTAATAAATTTATTAATTCTAATTAAATTCTCCCTTGCTCTAATTTTTTCCCGCGACATCAAATGTCTGACCATAATCATACTCTTACTACTTGAAATACGTTTTAACTGTGATTCAAACATCAAGTTAAATATCAGCTACACACTCGTGTAGTAAGAGATGTATAAATATTTCGTTTTGATTAAAATATGCTTTTGCTATTTATCACATTTGCAATCCCGTTTCAACAAATCTCGTGCACGAGTCGAGATAGAATGAGACATATTCGAATTTTGTGTGATTACTTTAACGTGAATTGATCTGGGAGAGTTATATACGTCGAGATTCTTTTCTGATTTTATGCACGCAAGAGTAAAATACACGAAGAAAAGAGCGGAAAGCATTTTTATATTTACCTCGGAATACAAGTTGTAATGGAATTTCTGAAACTCTCGTGCTCGAGTAGTAAACACGCTCGGACGACAAAATTCAAAGGAAGAACGGGAGAGGCAAATACTTATATGCGCAAGAATTTCGTTGTAATTACATCGCGTTGCGCTGACGAAGAGATGGCAATTGCCTCAACGAAAAAAAAACTTACAGTTTTTATTTAACTATCATGTAAAAAAGATATGTATATATTCGCTTCTTTTAATAAATATATTTTTATGAACTAATTTCTACATCGTCCAGTTACATCGCAATAATTTATATTGTAACTTTATTAGAAGTAAAAGTAAACCGTATAACGAGAAAAAGAAAAACGTTTCTCCCTCTCTCTCTCTCTCTCTCTCTCTCTTTTGAAACATCGAGTAGATTTCGCTTAAATTTCCTTTTTCCTTTGAGTGTTCATAAAATTAATAATCCCGTATCTCTCTAAATGTCCTCGTGCGCAGCTCGGCGTAAAGGAAAATTCCCCGAAGACTCGGGTCGCCAAGTCGCATCCGCGACAGTCAAGTGGTACGTTTATCGAGGAAACTTAATAAAAAGCATTACACCGCCGTCCTCCCCATCTTTCCCAGCGGGCGCGCGTTCTATTATCGCGGCCGACGAGAAGGGAGTAAGTTAAATGCACCAAAAGAATGAGGAAAAAGGGCGAAGACGATTTCGCTGAAGCAGAAATCGAGCCGGATGTAGAGAAAATTGATTTGTCCCCGGAAAGGGGAGGAAGCGCCGGTAAAAAAAAATTAATAAAACGTTGCGCGTAATCGTCTCGAAGAGGTTTCGCGATAACTGCATTTTCAAGCTCTCGTAATCTATAAGCGACGGTTTAAGCAAAGGGGATGAATAGCGGAGGACAGGACGACGAGAGAACGTGAAGAATGTTTATGCACGAATCGCGAATTATATTTTCGCCGCATCGTCGAGCGAGTCTCTTCCTTTCCGTTCCCTTCTCTCCATCCGTACCTTCCTTTTCCGCGCGATCCATTTTCAATTCAATATCGATGCATTCGCGACGCTCGCTTCGTTTTCCGTTCCGCTTTCCTGCGTTTTTCTCTTTTCTTCCGCGTCCGGTACTCGTCTTTTCATATCGATATCGATATTACTTAAAGCCTCATCGTGTCTCCGCCGTTCTTGGTTGGAGATGAGAGACGCGGCTGGTATTGAAAATGCGAATGATAGTTTCTTATATACAAAAGCGCGAGCTTCTCTCTCTCTCTCTCTCTCTCTCTCGATTGTGAATAACGATTGACGAGTCAGCTGGATTTGTCGTTATTGTACTATTATACGCGCAAAGTCAAGTACTGCGAAAATGATGTAAAAGCATATCTAATTAGCTCGACAATTCTTCCCAAAAATTGTAAAATATCGAGAAATTGCAATTTTATACAAACAAAGCGTGTCTCTCATCGATATTCGTGCAGACTTAATGAATTTTCCGTGCGTATAATAATATTATCGCGAGAACGCGTTGTTATTAATTGGATATGTTCCTTGCAAAACTTAATTCATTCGTGTCCTAAATCGGCTGTGTTTCACAGTTACTTCTACAAATATTGTAGTTAATAAACGAAGATTAGTAAAGGAGAGAGAAAACAGAGAGAAGTAACAATTTAATTTGCGCCGCGTCTGAGGAAAATTACGAGGTTAAGACGCCATGGTAACATCGTAGGATAAATCCGTTATGCAAACGTGAGCAAATGTGACACCGGTGATAATTTCGAATTTCGCGTAGAGAGATTAGATTAAAAATTTAAAATGAAAATTAGAATAAAATTCTCGGAGGAAAAGGTTGCGTATATATACATATATATATATATATACATGTATATTCGTATCGCACATTGTGTACGAAAGAGAATCCCGTAATGTGCAACTGTTTAAATGCGCGCCAGTCAGTCTTCGTCGCGAAAATGAACCAACATGGCGAGAATTATTGTGACGTCACTGCAATAACGTTGCATTATTTCGAATTTACTTCATCGACGCATTTTGGATTTGGACGCGGCCACTTACGCTAATTACGGCGCATGCAGCGGACAAATTAATTAATTGTAAACGCACAACATTGAAACACCAAAGCAAACAACGGTATTTGTATTTACTTCAACGAACTATCCTTTGTATCCGCAGACTATGATCCGCGGCTGATATAATCTTTCAATTAGCGAGAAAGCAATTTGTTAATGCGGCAGATGCACGGCGCTATAATTCGCGGCGCGTAAACAATATGTATACTTATGTACACATCCGCAAACAAATTATCCTGCCATATATTTAACTCTTATGACGCGTTTGAGAGACTCAAAAGCGCTCGTTATGTATGTGACAGAAACCGTCTTATGTGCACAAAGTGCAAAAATAAATGCGGTAAGTTTAACGTGATGCGCGCGGACGTAAATATGTACAATATATGCGTTCTTTGCAAGATAACGCGTACTTATATGCATCGTTCATATTGAAAAGGTCAACAGAATCAGTGCAATTAAAATAAATGTTTCAATAATGCGCGAATAATACAAATATAAAATTGTTTTTTTATGGAATATACAACAAAGTATGGTTTATTTAGTGATTTACCGTGTATTATTTGTTTTTATTATTTACGAAAATCATTTACGCGTGTGCAAATGTGATGTAGAATACGATCTGAAAAACATCCAAATACTCTTTCTATATGTATTTGTATAGCAGTTCATTTTACATCAGGCCAGCGACCTAGTTTTTATTCGTATATTAGAGATCGAAAATATTTGCGAACGAGCCTCGAATGCTCGAAAAATATTGGCAAAGCGACGAGATTCGGTATTGATAAAACCGTTGGTGAAAATAAAATTTCTCGCTAGTAAATTCAAGAGAGAAATAAGAAAAATTTACCTCTCCGTCTCATATACGACGTATATAAAACATGCAATTCGGATCGAGATTATCATGGAGACTTTTCCAACAAATCGCTGT